CTCTCTCTCTCTCTCTCTCTCTCTCTCTCTCTCTCTCTCTCTCTCTCTCTCTCACACACACACACACACACACACACACACACACACACACCCCACACACTTCTTGCCCTTCCTCCGTGTGACGCTGGTCGATTGGTGCATTCTGTTCTTCGATTGCTTCTCTCGCGCAGTTCCTGAAATTCGTTTCGTTTTGCGGCGGTTTTTGCTTTTCTCCCCTTTCTGTTGCCTCTTTCCAGAGGGAGAAAAATGCAGAGCCGAGCCACTCACTACTCACAGATTCCAGCGAGAAAAGGTAGTCTAGTCTATCGAACTTTTGAACTTGGTTATCTGGTCGGTACAATGGTCAAGGAGTAGCTAGCTGAGTGGTTGGATGTTGATTAGCTTGGTTGATCGGCCCATTCATTGGTTGATTGGGTAATTGATTGGTTGCGCACCACACCTTCTTACGTGGCGCAGCGTGACGCAATGATACATCGTAAAGGAGATAAACAAGCCATGACATCGGATGAATGTGGACGATGCCACTGGGTAAGGGGGATCACCTAATCGGTAGATGGCTGAAAGCACGTGCGCCTGTCACTGCGTGCGCATGTTATGAGCGCGCACGCGCTCATAACACGTGCGCACGTTATGAGCGCGCACTCGCGCTAGAGTGGGGGTAACGCGCACGCCCTCCACGCGGAACGCGCAGCAGGTCTTGGTCTTTCCTGTCCTATCCACGCGCACGCCCTCCACGCTGTTGCAGGTCGCGCGTTCGTGATATCAACCACCACGTGCAAATCAGAGATCCGCACGTGGATATTGGGGTCAGGCAGAGTACTCAATCGTCGTCATCATCATCATCATCATCATCATCATCATCATCATCATCATCATCATCAATAGCATCAATGTCAGCAGAGCCAGCAGCATCATCGGAAGTCGCCTCGGGACTGTCTCGATCAGACTGAATGATCATCGATTGCTCTTTGATTGATTGCCCGGTTGATTTGATGAGCTCTTCCATCGAATGATTGATTGATTGATTGATTGATTGATTGATTGATTAATTAGTGATTGGATTGCAGAAGCTCAGAGATTTATGATTATCACCATATTGAGCATCGCTTGCATCTCCATCTCCTCCTTCGCCCAGCTGTCCACAGTGTGGCTGCCTTATGCATGTACCGATTGATTGATAGATGGATTGGAGCGACTGATTACTTGCTTTGTTGAGTAGTGGTGGATTGATCGATCAATTTGTCGTTGATTGATGGATCGAATGCTGGATTGACAGATTGCCTGAGCAACCTATTACGTTAGGTAATCTAGTGTTCTGTCGTGTTGATTGAAAGGCGCACACCCTTCGCGAACGACCTACTAAGACGCAATTTTTTTTATTTTTTATTTCTTTTTTACGTTTTTTTTTTTTGCTGTCTTAAGATGCAGAGTTCACCTTACTATAATGAATAAGCAAAACCCTAAAAACCCATCAGACCACACCCCATCACTCCCGCGCAGTAGTGCTCAGCTGGCTTGAACCCTGGGGGTGGGCCTGTTCCCAGAAGGGGAGGGGTTCGATCCCCTTTACCGGCCGATCGTCGGGAAGCTGACAAGGAGACAGAGCAGTTGGCTCCCCCCAAAACGGGGAGGCCGCCCGAATAGCCCTTCCTCTAAGAAACACACGCACACACAAAAAAAAAAAAAAAGCCCGATCAACAAATGCTGACCTCATAGTACTGATGACGGGACCATCACTTAGTCTAGGACCAATTACGGAAGCAAGCTATCACTGTAAGAGGCCAACTATAATCAGGATCAGAAGTGATTGATTGCTTGACTGATTGATTGATCTATCGATCAATTGATTGATTGACCTATCATTCAATCAATCGATCGATCGATTGCTTGATTAATTGAATCATTGATTGATTGATTGATAGATTGATTGACAGATTGATTGATTGATTGATTGACTGATTGATTGATTGATTGATTGGTTGATTGATTTGGGGATTTCGAGCAGCTGCCAACCTACCGCAACAAGATGGCCGCCAATCCGAAGCATCCTGGTCATCGAACCCAGTCCTCGATAATTAACAGCGTACTTAGCATAGGGTGCCCATCCCTTTCGACTCCAAAAATCAATCGTTCGGGTTCTCCTATTATTCCCTCCTTCCTCTTCTCCGCGTCTGACGGGCAGATCCCACCAATCACATACCATTGCTCTTTCATACTTGTACCTCCGGCCCAGTAGCTTCAAAACGGCTGGCGGTGCCCCTTTCAGAGGATGCTCTCCTTCTGGCTTCTTTGGAAGATGAGGATGATCCAGAGGGTGCCCTCGGTAATTGTCAGTCCCATAACCGCCATAGCCCCTTGGCTTCCTTGGGACCATGTGCCTTTCTACCTCCTCCAACTCTCTTCTCTCCTCCTTCTGATGCACTTCCCCCTTCTTCCCCCCTGCTTCCTTCCCTTTCTTCTCCTCCCCCATCTCTCTCTCTCTCTCTCTCTCTCTCTCTCTCTCTCTCTCTCTCTCTCTCTCTCTCTCTCTCTCT